CGGGACAGGAGTGGCAGAAGCAGAAGGGGTGTCAGCCACTGGAAGGGGAGCAGCTGAAGAGTCTGGGAGGGACAGGGAAAGGGTGATTGATGGAGCTGTGACTGATGAGAGAGGGCTGAACCAGGAGGCAGGACGGGGGTGCCAGGGAAGTGAGCCATTGCTGGCAGGAGTTGAGGGCCAGGGCGAGGCAGAGTGGGAGTGGGACACAGCTCCATGCACTTGTCCATGTTGTGGGGACGTGAGACACACTATGTCCCCAGGGGAACAGCTGACTGCAGACACCTTCCTGAGCAACCCTGACCAAGGGGATGGGGGAATGGAGCCAGGGGAGAGAGGGACTGCAGGAGGAGGTGAGGGGCTGTGCCTGGGCACCCAGCCACAGCTGGCAGCTGCTGGGACAGGGGCAGCAGGGGGCAAGGACAGGCAGCAGGAGGGGATGGAGCAGGCAGGAGTGAGAACCAAGAGGGAGCAGCCAGGCCCCCATGAAAATATGGGAGACAGCAAGGTAGTGGGTGTCTCGATGAGTGCAGGGAGTGTTGCGGGGGCTAGGGAGCAGAGTAAGGACAGTTCCCTCAGAGGGACCTCAGGCATCCTGGGAGCTGCTGACACGGACCAGAGGAGCTGCAGTCCCCGTCAGGTGAGTCCTGTGGGTCAATCGCTACCCCTGGTGACACTGGAGCCCCCAGGCTGATCCCTGTCACCACCTGTTCCCATTCCTTGCCCATTCCTTAAGTGTCTGCTGCTGGTACCTGGGGCAAAGAATGCTAAATTCTTTTAGGTGATGGCTTCTGCTTTCTTTTCTGTTCCCCAAATGCCATGTGAATCCTTTCGCTGTGGCACTAATTCTCACAGCCTCTCTGCCGTCTCTCCTCTCTGGCCATGCAGAGCAGATCCCTCCATCAGGCATGCCACAGCGCTAGTGGCACTGGGCAAGCCCTGGCAGCACCCATGGGCTCTAGTGCTCAAGTCAGTGGCAGCACTTGGCTCCCCTGTTCCTCTGGCCTTTGCTTGTGGTAGATGTCACAGCAGTACCTCAGGAGCTCCAAGTTCAGCACTTCTGTAACATTTGCTCATTGTGCCGTAGGATGGTGCAAATCCAGACCCAGTGGTTGTGTCATCAGAACAGCCCCAGGATGGGGAACAAACTCGGCTGTGAGCTTTTTCTGTAGCTCCTCAGTGCTGTGTCCTGCAACATCCACACTACTGGCTGTGGATTTGTGCCAGTTGGGATGTCACTCCTCTGTTCAATCTGTGAGTACCACAACCACCTGTCATGTTTCATCAGAGTAGCTCCTCAGTGTGCAGCAGACAAGTGAAACAAGCCTGTGTTTCCCAGCCCAGGAAACAGCTCTCCTTTGGAATGATGGAGACAGTAATCACAAGGATTGTTCCACAGCTGTGTGTTGCTCATTTTCCCCAAAACTCAGAGAAATACTGGACTAGCTAAACTTCCTCTCCTCCCCAGGCACCACTTGCTCCTGCAGGCAGGCAGGAGGCTGAGCACAGATGTGCTGTGTGTGTTTGTCTGTACAGGGTGCCCAGGTATGACTGTAGCTGTAATTTTTTGGGGTGTCTTTGCCTTTCTGAGCTGCAGCCTCTTGTCACTTGGGCTGTGACCTCACTGCTGTGCCAGGGGCAGTTGTGCACATTACAGCTCTAATTCTGGTGAGAGCATGTGGGGGTGTTCAGCAGAGTGTGGAACAGCAGGATCGGGGTGGAAGGTGGACTCACACACAAGTTTTATCCTGAGGACTTCCCACATTAGGGGAGGGGAGCTTTACTGCACTGTGCCCTGTGTGCCTGGGGCATGTGGGGACTTCCCTCTCCTTGGGGATCCAGGATGGCCGCTGGCCACACTTCAGGGTGTTCTTGGCACTTTGAAAAGTTTTTTAAAGTTATTAAATCAGAACAATTTTAGCGAGTATTTGTAAATGCATAAAGTCTGGCCTAGAGCTTTTGCTGGTGTCAGGAGTGACTCCCTGGCCCAGAGCCTGAGATGAGACTGCAGGAGGGTGGTCAGTGTAGAACTGTCTCTGGGTGTCCATCTCTGTG